TTTTTTGCAAATGGACCTCAAAAAATTGGGCTATTACTTCAAGCCCTCAGAAGTTGAGGACAATTTAACCGAACAAGTGGAACAAACACTGCAGAAATATGTGAGTGATCGAGTATTTTAAGTTACAATTCGTAGCATTATATACTAAACAACAGGAGGACTTATTACTAATTTCTTTGGTCGTTAATAAACAGAGCCGCGCTTACGAAGTTAATTCTCTGAGGGAAGACATCATTTAAATCTTGCAGGATCTCAAAGACCATATATAAGCGCTTTCTTATATGAAGGTATGGGGCTTACTGTCTTGGTTAAAGAACATATCTGATCGCAGAAATCAAATTTTCAAGGACTTTGTGGGTTGAAATGCAACGGCAAAAATGAATTTGTCTTACACTGCACTCGTAAACTGCTTGATCCTCTGGCTGGATCTGTGGAAACTCAATCACTCGATTGAACTCTTTGTACACGTCCAAAGGAATTGGTTTACCATCCAACTAAAAATTTTAAAATAACATGAGAATTCGCATTCATCCAAATAGAGCGGCAACCTCTCTCTCTCTCTGGTAGGCTTACCCGACGCCAGCTGTACTCTAGTGGTCCGGACTGAACACTCCCGCCGGCAAAACACTCAATGCGTACAGCTTGGCCTCTGATGGGGTCAGTAGGCCAAATCGCTGGAAAGCTGTCGTAGATACGGGGCTCCTGGATCCGTTGATTGCTCTCCTGTACAATTAGTGGCATGTCCGGAGACTTCGGTGAGTCACTGAGGCGAGAACCCAGTTGGTGCATTGTAATCATGCATACATATATGCCCGTGTCCTACAAAGGACAAAGGTAGATAGCGCCATACATGTCATGCTCTGAACTCGAATGCGATGACTGCTGACTGAATAACCACAATACTTACAGGAAAGAGTAGTTAAAAGGAGGATGAGTAACAGGAAGGGAAACAGAGTTTAACTAACTCATTCAAACTGTTTATTATGCAAATGTGGCTCGACATTTCTTGCCAGAAGTCTTGGCTTCAGATAACCTTCTGTTGTACAGATACAGACAATATAGCTTAATTATGACTTTCAACACGGACCTGTTTCATCACTTTAAAATGAAATACCTTTTTGTCCTTTCAGTTATTGAATGTTTTTATTAAATCCAAAAAGGCCTTAAAAGTTATGCTGATAAACTTAAACATGGAAGCAAAAAGGAAAGTAAAGTTTGAGAAATGATGTGGCACAGTGGGCGAGGTGGTTAATTAATATCGAACCCAGTTTACTTAGTGACCAACAAATTTAAGGGAGAGGTAACCTGTGTAGTTGCTTCGGAGAAACCGATCAAAGCCTGAGCTTGAGAAACGAAAACCCCTGGACGAGCCGACAATACGACAGGTTCAAGACCAGAGTCCTTCTTCATATAGAAGGCGTAGATAAGACCTGTTGGTCGAATTGGTGTCAGTATAGTTGTAAAGAAATGTGTCACACATTCAAAAAATAATGAGACAGGCAACAGTTAAAGTCAAATTGAAGAAAGGATGGAGATACAAAATCCCCATTTGGAAGCAGCAGTATTACATATACACATTGCATTTTCAAAGTTTATAGTTCTATGCTAAAAGGCCCAGAAGAAACTGTTCAAATGCAGAAAGAACGATAACTGAAAGGGTGCATCCAAATAGAACTGGAAGCTCGAAGTATTAGTGATAAGCTCCGAGTTCTGATATTAAACAGGCAGTTGAAACGGGATGCAAATTCTAAAGTCTTATAAATTAGATCGTAATTCAACAAATTTGGTGATTCTTCTGCAACTTGATATGGATGCCTTGCAGGAAAAAAATTATGACAAAGCCACGGTTAGTCTCACTTAACTTCATCATCCTAGACAGTCAAAAAAGAAAAGTGGATTACCTAGATTTTGTAATACTTATAAGATGTAGTCACTAGGACACTAGATTTCTATCACAGTTGGCAACGCTCGAATGAAGGTAAATGTGTCTTTATTTTGACTGCTTTTCACTGAATTTCAGCGAATGTTAAACATGAAAGACAGGGCAAAAGCATGAATTTAGTAACGCATCGTGAATTTAATCCTTTGTAGATCATAATAAGTACAGAGGGAATATATTTTGCTTATTCGAGATCACAGATGTAAAATAAATAGACAGTTGACTTCATTCATACGTTCAAAAAAGCAACTCATTTAGGAAAACTGTTTGCAGATGCAAATTTAAATAACTAAACGTACTGTCTCTTGGTGAGTGTGCTGGTGGATCGCAGGGGATGGTGACACTTTGGTAAGCCCAGGCCATTCTTGTTTTTCGGGGTTGTTTTGGAAACGTTTCCAGTTGCCCAAAAACAATTTTAGCCGTTCTGCTTAAAATACTGCCAAAGTCGTTGTAGGCTTCACATTGATAGTACTCGGAATCGGTTGATGCTTGTGGCTGATGAATTACTAAGCTTCCTCCACTAACAGAAATTCGGCCCGTTGGTGAAAGTAAAGGGTCCACAAGAGTTCGTTTGGGTACAACAATGCTCTGACCAGATATAAGGCCTATTTTGTACCATCGATAATTTGGAGCTGGATTTCCGTTAGCGAAGCAACCAAAAGAAACAAAATTTTCTACAACGATTCCTGGAACAAACCTGAGGGAGAAAATCACATAATAAAAATACAATTTAAGCGACGTTTATTTTTGCATAAGCTCTGATAAAACAATTATATCTTTTGTGTGATTTTTAATCCAAAAAAGACCGCAACGATGGTAATAAGGAGTATTATGTGTTTAAAGTGGTTCTGGCTCTTAAATACATATTGTTTTTTTAATTTTTAAAAGCTTTTGGATTCAGAAGTTCCTTAGAAGATCAAAGATCTCCCAAATAACACAGAGTTCAATCAAAACCGTCCAGTCCTTCTTATGTAAAATTGTGCTTAGTTTCGATGCCTCTGTAGACTCCTGTAAAAAACAACATATTTGCAGCAAATTATTGCTTCATACTGTTTGAGAAAGTGCGTACTTGGGTCACAGGAATGAATTACGGGATAAACCGGTCAGTTTAGTGTGGGTGCTTCAATGAATTTACATATTTAAATTAGTTTTATTTAAATAACTACAATGTTGGAAGTAAAATGCAATAAATATACTGACAAGAAGACTGTTACTGTTTTCTTCATTTTGAATCCTTAAATTATGAGGACGATTACAATGTGCATGAAAAATCCTCGTCTACTTGTCTCTACAAAGCTCCGAAGAACGAAGTAATATTCAAATAAAATGGAACGAAAAGTATAAACCAGGCTTCACAAACGCTGAATAAACCAATGTAAGCAACATTTAAATGATAACTTACCAGGCATCAACCGGTTGTTCTACGAAACAAGGTCCTCTTAAGATCGAATTCGAGTCGTTTTGTCCGTAGTCAATAGGGTTTGACTGAGGAAGAAGTTTGTTGGCGAATAAAGACTTGGCTTGGCATATATATCCACGTGCTACCGTAGGCACGTCGATGTACCACCCCCAAGCAGTTCCATTCGTACCATAAACAAGTTTGTTTTGATCAACTGGATAAGTTGCCTGATCTGCTGCTGTCGGTGGCTTGTCGAACCAAAGAGAATACAGATTCGGTGGAATATTTCGGGATGCCGCGGGGTAACCCGTCCAAATAAATTCACCAAAAGGTGCGTTAAGCATAGTTCCTGCGGTGTACCATCTCATTCTATTTCAATAACAAAAAATTAAATTACTTACGTCCTATCTAGAGCGTTTGTTTGTAACCAATCACTAACAAAACGGTGTTGTTCCATAGTCTGAATATTGAGCAAGAGCGCTCCACGAAACTTAAGAAATAATAATAAATTTAGTTCGTACGGCGCAGCCTGACTGTGCGGTTGCAAAATCAGCAGCTGGTGAAGAAATGAATACGTAGCAAGCCGCTTCGAATGAAATCCAACCGTTTGGACAAACTTTTAGGTAAACAATTAAACAAGACTTTACCAGACTGTCTTTGTCTGTCTTGTGGACACCCCGACCAGAAATTTGTATTTGTTCTGACGGAATGACAACAGGAAAATAAAATTCCTATCTGTACTAGCCATAAATGTGCCATGATCAATAAAAATATTTCCTGTTAAGTTAAAGTAGTCCCTATTTACTTGACAATTCTATTGGTACAATTAAACAACGAGTATCAGATTTTATCTATGTATACATCTTACTTAGTAGCAAGTAATTTCACGCATATAAATTCAGAGCTGAGCTATAACTATAAATAGGAACTATAATTTCCTCTGCGTAAATGATATGTGTTAACTTGCTTTTTTGAAAGTACCCTTGTGCATAAAAATGTGAGCCATCAGCGCAGTCAACTGCACCAGGTCAAGCGGGTATGAACGCAGCTAGCCAGATTTATATTTCTTTCAGCGAACGAAAAGCTCAACTCTGGAATCCACGTTTAAATATAAATCTGTTTTACATAATGGTTTTGCTCAATAAGCAGTCGGACAGTGTTATTAGTGCTAAACGATGCCTACTGCTACAGTATTATCGATTACTTTATGTAAAACTTACTTCCTCTTATCTCGCATCCTTAACTTGTCAAACCCTACACCTTGGACCCCCACTGTTCCTCGCATTTTTCTGGCAAGACTAAAGAAATTGAAAAGAGAGTCGAAAGTTAAACCTACTAGTTCATTATTTATGCACCTTATGATCGTACAGCTTTTCGAATTAGCGTTTAAGATTCGTCTTCACGTGACAGACAGATGGAATCTTGCTCACTCAGCGAACTTAGCCCTGCAAAATCTGTTGCCCAACTGGTCCGTCGTCGGTCATCTGCTAAACGGGGCCGTGAACTTCCCCTATTACTGAATGGAATTAGAAACTTCGTTCTCTGTGACTCTGAGAAGGCTGAATTGTTCAATCCATTCTTTACAAAGCACCTTACGACGGAATCAAAACCGGTTTTGACGTTTCAGCTATATTCAGACAATATCCTCAGTACCATTGATTTCTCCCTAAAATCAATTCGTAAGCATAGCGCGAAGTTTGAAATTGTTTGCGAATTTCAAGTTTTTCGAGCTTACGT